TATGTTAAATTAATGCTAATAACATTAATTTTTTATTTTATTTTATTTTTTTTTTTGGCGGCTCGGGGAGCTTCATCACTTAACCAGGCGTTTGTGGTTTTCTTTTTTTGGGTACAGCTGTAAAATATTTGGATATAGGAATTGTTTGTGTTCTTCTTCTTGCAGCCTTGATATTCAGGGTGGATTGTAAAATATAAATTTTTTGTGAGATTTCAAAGATTAAGATTATTTTGATAACATTATTTACAGATTTAAAAAAGTGACTATCACATTGAGTCTGTATGAGGGGGAAAAACTACTGCATCAAAAATAACTAACTTGGAATAAATATTTTGCATCAGTTTGCCAATTCTAATTGTCTTTCTTATGTAAGAAAAGCTTTCCTCTAAAGGGACCTGCAACTTTGGGGGTTTAATAGCTCTGGGGATAAATAGTTTCTTCTCCCACTGTATTTTTCCACTTGGCAAACATTGCTGTAGCGCTCAGACTGCAGGAGCTAACTCTTCCTTTAAGAAGGGAGAGGGAGAACAATGGTGAGATGATAGCCCATGTTTGGTTTTGTTTTGTTGGTTTTGTTTTTTTGGTTTTTTTAAAGAAAGAAAATAATTCAAATTATCTTCCACTTAAAGCAGTGTGCTTTTTTTTTTTCCGCTTCATACAAAATTGTGAAGCTCGACTGGTCGGTGTCACTTGTTCCTAGTGCAATGCTGCTGTTTATGTTCACAACGTGGCAAGGGAATGTCTGAATCCAAAGCTGTTTTCATTGAAATCTTTTTTAAAAATTCATGAAAACATTTCTATTAGATTAAAAAGGATTTTACAAACAACTCAGTTGTGGCCTAAGCTATTTCAGTGTCTGTTCTAAGTTCAGCTTGTACGCAAACCTTTTGGACTGGAGAGCATCGGCATGGTTGTGCACTGTTTGCAAGTGGGTTGGACGGAATCGCATGCTGGGTGCGAAATCCCCGGGGGGATTTCACCCGAGGTCTTGCTTCGGTCTTTTTAATCCACTCCTGACGAGGCAGGGAGGGCAGATGCGCAGCGTTTAGCCGTGAATCTTTGCACCTGAACTTGAGGGAGGGCACTCGGCAGCACCAGGTGTAACTCTGTTCTTTGTGCCTTCAGCTCCGGCCGGCTGCGGGAGGCTGGTGCTGCGCTTCACCCCGGGGAAGGACGGGGGCCGGGGCCGGTTCTGCATCGCTGCCGGCCGGGAGCCAAGCTCCAGCCCCTGGGTCTGGCTGGGAGCGCGCAGGGAAGCGCTTGGGCTCCTCTCAGACTTTTTGCAGATCCTCTGGTTCCTTTTGAAGGTCCTACCGCTTCGGTCCCATCAAACGTGGCTTTTGTCTGGAAGAGTTTATCCATTTTTTTTAAGTACGTGCCTTCCTGCATCCTTCCCAGTGAAAAAAAAAAATATGTAAAGGCGTTTGCACTGTTGTCAAGAAATGGGGTAAGTTCCTTCACTTCGCCTCCACGCTGGCAGCCACTGGTGATGGGCAAACTGGGAGGCTGAACCGGCCCTGCTGAGTGAGGAACCTGCCAGCTGGGGGACAGCCACGCGAGACCCCTGTGTCCCCGGAGCTCTTTGTGTTTATTGCCAAACCCTTCCCTCAACCTCTGCCCCCAGCCCTCCCCTGGGCCGCGCACTGTTTAATCACCGATGGAACTTCTAAAGCCTTACTGACTGCCCGGGGGCTGAGCGAAGCCCCGTAAATCAAGCAGCATTTTTTTTTCCTGAGTAAATCACCGGTTTTCTGTGGTGAGTAGCGCTAGCAGCACGGTGAGAGGGGGTGACTGAGAGGACCCTGTGGCTGCTCAGCAAGCAGCGTGGGGGGCAAGGGGGGGAAGAAGTGGGGCTTATTTTGGGAACAAGGGTGGGCCCCTGGCTAGCTGTGGCAATGAGAAGGGGGCAGGGGGGGGGCAGGAGCAGTTTCATGTCGGTGCAGAGACTGTCCAGGAGCTTGAAGAGGACAGCGCGTGGTTATAAGCTGCTGCAAGGAGCAGGCCCCCCCCTCCCCAGGAATTAGGAAATAATTTGGAAAGCAAAGTGGGGGACGGGTCAGCCTCATGCTGTGCATTGCTGCTGTTGGGGCCTTCCCCCGTCTTGGTTTCTGTGGATCACTCAGGTGACCAAGCAACATTTTTGGGTTTTGTTTTTTTGTTTTTGTTTTTTTTTTTTCTTTCTTCCCCTTTCCAGTGCCTGTGGTAAACACTGGGACTCGCCAGGGCCAGGGGTGCGGCCGCCCTCCCTCACCCGTCCCAGCGTAGCAACGGCGGCTTCAAACACCGGCAGCCGGTCGGTGCACAGGTCCCAGCCCCGGCGGGATGACCCCCTGCCCTGGCCGGGTGGCACCCCCAGGTAACCCCCACCCCGCTGTGCTTTCCAGGGTGCCCCATGCCGGGTGTGGGGGGCTTCATCTGTCCCCACTGCCGGATGGCTTTCGGCTCCCGGCCGCTGCTGCGGGCGCACGAGGAGAAGCTGTGCCCCGGGACCCCGGTGGGCAGCGGCTCCTGCCTCCCGGGGGGGCACCGGCCCTCTGCGGGGGGGACTCCGGGCTCGGCGAGGAGGCCGCAGGACACCTCGGTAGTGTGGGGCGTGGGGGGACGGGGCAGTCAGTGGGGACAGGGAGAGGGAGGGTGCTGGGCTGGGACGTGCTGTGGGCGAGGAAAGGGAGGGTCACAGCTCCCACAGCTGGATCCAGCCCAGCCTGAACTGGAGCACCCCCCCATCCTCCCCTGCGCCACATGGTCAGCCCTCGGCGCTCATTTTTGCCAAAACCAGAAAAGTTTATATTATTAAGCAGTTTTTTTTTCCCACCCTCCCCACCTTTTCTTCCTGCTTGCCTCTGCGAGGTCGGGGGGTCCCAGCGTGGGGGCCGTGCTGAGCCACGCCATCTCCTCCTGCTTCCCGTGGGGGGACGGCCGGGGCCGGGGCGAGGGCGGGGGGCTCCCCTGGGCAGCGTGCTCACCCCCCGCGAGAGGGCCCTGCTCCGGGCGGGCGACCCCGCGTCCAGGAGGCTGCCGGTGCAGGTACGGTGAACCCCACACCCCTGGGGCGGGCAGCAGCACCCCAACATGCCCCCTGCACCCCAAGCCCTGTGGCTGGTGGGGTCCAGCCACCCCCCCCAGCCCGTTGCGACCCCCCCCCTGTGCAGCAGGGAGAGCCCAGCCGGGGGCCAGCCCCGGCGCGGGGGCACGGGCAGCGGGCGCAGGAGCTGCTGGAAGCCCACGAGGGCCACATGGCCAAAATCCGGGCCAGGACCCAACAGCTGGAGCAGCAGCGCGAGGGTAGGCACTGGCAAGGGGTTTTGGGGTGATGGGGAGCCACCTGTGGGGTGGAGTTAACCCCCAGGGAGCGGGGCTGTGGGGACTGTGCTGAGGCCCCTCCTGCAGCCCCTTCACCGTCCCACAGGGCTGTGCCAGCGGCTGGCAGCGCTGGGGACCGGGGCAGGTGCGACCCCCCACCCTCAGCAGGGGGAACTGGAGCTGAACCGGGCCCCAGCGGTGCTGCAGGATCCTGTCGGAGGGCTGTGGCGTGGAGGGTGAGCCCGGGGGAAGGGGGTGGTGGTGCTCGCCATTAAGGGGGCCCTCAGCACCCCCCGGCCCCACCTCATTCGCCTGTTTCCTCCCCAGGGCTGCCCTCCGCCTCGACGCCCTCCTGTCAGCCGCCGGGCCGCTGGCCGCCGAGGCCAGGTGAGGGTCTGGGGGTGCCGGAGGAGCCGGGCTGAGCGTCCTGCCGAGCCCCGGCAGCGGCTGAGGCCGGGGCTGCGGCAGGGCGCTGCGGCTGTCCTACCTGCAGGCGGGGGGGCACAACCCGGCCATCTTGGACCAGCTCCTCCACCTCCAGCTGGAGGCCACGGCGCTGGAGAAGAGCCCCACGGGGCTGCGCGGGGGCAGGAGGATGGGTAAGCCCCAACCCCGGCCCATCCCCGAGGGGCCCCTGGCTCCGCAGCTGAACACCGAGGCAGCCCCGGCTGCGCGGGCAGAGCTCCCCGCCGCTGGTGCACAGGGCCTGGACGCGGCGGTGCTGGCCCTGGAGCTGGAGAACCGGCGACTGGAAGACGAGCTCTTGGCGCTGAAGGTCAGGAGGGAGAGACGAGCAGATGCCGGTAGGTGACGGGTCCCAGGGACCGGGGCAGCTCCCACCTGCACCCCCACAGCCCCCAGTTGCCTCTGGGGTTGCAGTTGTCAGAGCCCCTGGGCTGCACTGGGGGGGGGGGGCGGGGACGACAGGAACACTTGCACGGTCACATCATTGAGCGGGAGGGGACAACGTTCCCTTAGACATTGTGGGGGGAAACAAGGAGGGGAGAGTCACAGCAGCAGCACAAATGGGACCCCCCCAGTGACCCTGCACACCAGCCCAGTGGGACGACAGGGGAAGGGGTCGCTGGGGGGGGGGGGGGGGAGCATAAACCCTGCAGTGACGCGTTCCTGGCCCTCAGGCTCCCGGCTGGCCCAGCGGCACATGGAGGAGCTGGCCCAGCTCCAGGCAGAGGTGAGGATGCTGCGGTGCCACGTGGAGCAGATGGGGCCACGGCTGCCCCCAACCATCCTCCCACCCTCTGTGGCCCCCCCACTCCTGCCAGCCCTGCCTGTGCCAGAGCTTTTCGTGGTAAGAGCCCCCTCCCAGGGCGATTTCCAGCTTTGCAGCTAGGGGAGATGAGACAGGTGGCTGACCCAGACTGGATGATGGGTGCGGAGGTGTGAGCTTCGGGAGACCCTTTGGAAATGCTTCCCTGGCTGCAGCTGGGGACACCTCCTGCCCCACAGACCCAGGGCCACTGGGGCAGATGTCCCCCTCCCAGTACCGAACCACGGGCAGGAGGCGCTCTGCACACCCCATGCCCTGTGTGGCAGGGGGGATGCTGGGACCCCCCTCCCATTAACACCGATTTTCTCCTTTTGCAGGAGTCCCCCAGGGCAGTGCTGGGGCCAGGCAGTCCTGCAGGCCCCAGACACCCCTATGCTCCCCCCACCCTCCCCCTCGCAGCCCTGGAGGACCCTCCTCCTCCTCAGGACCCCCCAGCACAGCACAAACTTCTCTGAAGGTGAGCTAGGAACGGGCTGTATCCCCACAGCACTGCCCCAGCCTTCCCACATCCCCTCACCCATCTGGAGCAGAAAACGGCAGCTTTATTAACTAAAAGTACAATAAAGGGGTGACAAAACTTGTTATAGATGCAGGGACAGGGGCTCAGCACCAGCTGTATAACTAACAGCCAGGTCCCACGATGCTGGGGCTGAGAGGAAGCGTACAAGGGGCCCTCCTGAGACCAGAGAGGCTCTGGGCACTTCGGCAGCATCAGGCCCAGGCCCAAGCCAGCTGCCACTGAGCCGGCAGCAGAGAGGCAGGATCACTTTTCTCTCTCCTTTCCCTACAGCTTGCTCCATCAGGCGCATCCCCACAAGCCCCTTCTAGGGGAAGCCTGACACGAGGCAGTCGCAGCTCAGCCCTGGGAACCAGCACAAAGCCCCAGCACCATTTCCACCCTTGGGGTAGGGGCTATGTGCTACAGGTTTAATAAATGGCTTCACCCTCACGACCTTTGCTTGACCTTTTTTAAAAAAAATGCACACACCCACCTCCACCCCTGTCCCAGAGCAGGCCCTCAGCCCCCCTTGTGCATGTACAGAGACCATCACCCCCTGCTCCCACCCCCCCTCCCTTTCCACAAGCTCCCATGCACAACTGTAGGGATATAAAGGGGTAAAGTAGAGGCTGAGCAGAACCCTTAATGCATCTCCAGTATCCCAGCAGTTACAAAGGGTGTAAGCAGCCAGCCAAGCTCTTATCAGCCTTCCCCAGGCTGTTTAGTCTGCTCAAGGCTGAGGGAGGCACCCCAGGAACCCACACCAGGCTCAGCCTAGAAAGAACCAAACAGCCAGAGCTCTGACCCCAGGGCTTGTGCCCCATCCCCTGCCCCAGCAAAAGACAAAAAGATCTTACCTCGACTTGCCCTAGACACAAGGGCAGTGGGTTTCATTCAGCATTCTTCTTCCCAGCAGCTCCCACCCTGCTCCTGCCTCACTGGACAGATCTGGAGGGAACTTTTGAGGCTGAAGGGACAGGGAGGCCAGCAGTGAGCCAGGGCTAAGACCTGCAGCTCAGGGGCTGTGAGGAGCAAAGGCTGCAGCTTGTAACAAGGGGAGGGTTAAGACAAGGACCATTTGCTTACAATCTTTATTGAAGTCATACAAAAGTTGCCAAAAAGTGAAAAAATACACTATATACAAAACCATTTTCCTTGTAAGGAGAGGAGTGTCCAAGGTTAAAGAATTATCATACTGTGCTTTCAACTGCAGCCCCCGATTCTGCTTGTGGCCTTTTCTCTGTCTAAAAGAAAAGGAAAGGTTTTGTTTTTAAAAAAACAAGACACTGCCTTACAGCACCAATTCATGCAGCAGTTCAAGGTTTCTGTCATTTTAAGACTTAACTGACTACTCATGCTTTACTGGTCTTACATCAACTGTAGCCCAGGTAGTAAGTATTACAACAATACCTTGGGGAAAGGCCCTGTGCTGTACTTCAGCCCAACTCAAACACCCGGAACATTTCTGTCCCACCCCACAGGTCACAACTCTCCACAGCTTTTGCCCTTCCAGCCCACACAGTGTCAGACACCCTGGCACAACGTGCATCCTCGCCAACGGGGGAATATTCCCCATCTCATGTGGGACACCTTGTGAAGACCAGCAGGCAATAAACCCAGTGCATCTACCAGGCAAAAAAAACATCCCTGAACAGAGAGGGGAAGAGGAAAAAAAAAAAAAAAAAAACAACATGGCACAGACTCCTGCCTCAGCTGCCCACCTCCTCTTCCATTTTTTCTGCAACCTCATTTCCACTGGGGGCATCGTCACCACCACCACCATTGACAGCCGGTTCTGGTTTAGATTTCTTAGCTTCATTGTCTCCCTGTTGAGTCTCCTCCTCTGGTTTCCTCTGAAGACAAAATTGTTTAGTCTTCACTATGTACAAATTAAAGTTAAGTATTTTTTAGAAAGTTAGCATCTAGGTGTCATTGCACATTATCTATTCAACCTCTACTTGCCAGGTTCAAGACAGGTATTTAAGTGTTAAGATTTAACCAAAGCTCTGAAGCTTTGGTACAGAGGTCTCGACCACAAAGGATTTCCAGTAAGACATTATTTAGGTGCTAGTATCTATAGTGCTGAATTATCCTTAGTTATTGTTTGGCAAGGAAACATGCAACTGCTGAGCCAGGTAACAGTTAAGGGGGTAGATTTAGGGCATCTATGACACTTACAATCACCTGTGTAAAGCAGATCAAAGTTGCTCCAGGCAAACCTGAGCTGAAAGAGCCCAATATAACAGAGGCCAGGCTGTGCCACAGCAGCATACAAAATATAAACTAAGATCCTATAGGGGATAATTTTAGTTATATTAGCAAACAGTTCTAGAAGAAGCATATACCTCTAAAGGAACCTAGTGCTCAATACAGTATCTCTTTGAGGCAGTTTATCATTACTACCATTAGACTGGCTTTGCTATTCATCAAGTCCAATTCTCCATTTCCACTTGGAAAGAAGGGAACCCAACTCAGCCTGGTTGTTTGCCCTTTTCTTAAGATCTGAAGGTGACCCTGCTCTTCCTGCAGGTCCTCAGCAGAGGAGGGCACTTGTTCAGAGAACACCTGCAGAGTCACACAACTCAGCTCTTCAGTTAAACCAGCATGGGTCAGGAGGGGTGCTCAACCATCAAGAAGGGTCTCCTGGAGGCTGAATGGTTCCCAGACTGATTGGCTCCCAGTGGAAAGGAGTTTCATGCACTATTTCTGGTTTTACTTTTAGAGATTTTTTTCCCTTACAGAACTAAAAAGCTTTAAAACAAGAAATCCAATTATACACAGCAAGCCAGCGGTACGTTAACGAACTGTTCAACTAGTCATTTTTGGACTCACCTTTTTCCTGACGAGGTGAGAGATGTCTGTAACACACTGAGATGCACCATCAGCTGCTTTTCTTACTGGAATCTAAGACAGATATTGACACGTGAATAAGAGCAAACTGTAATCCTTCTAGCAGACAGGAATTATCAACATCCACCTTAAATTAACTTACTGTGGAAACAGAACCACTGTCTTCACTTTGTGCAAAGCCAGATGTAGTTCCAACCTTAAGAAAAGCAGAAGAAACAGTTAAATTCTGGCAAGACCACATACATATGCTGGTTTAGAAAGGAACAGAAAGCCCAACTCCATGTCTCAACACCCCATTCCACACTTAAACACAGGACAGAAGCAACATTCAGTCCATTCTCACATTTGCCTGATCTATCATTTCCAGCCCTGACACATTAAATTCCTATAGTAGCCTATCAAATTCCAGTTTAGTTTGGAACAATTCACGTCAGTGTATTTACTAAATACCCTCTCTCTCTCTATGTCAACTGCCTCGGTTTCCTTCTCACAATCACAGCCCATTAACAGTTGGGAGCAACCACCAGCCCTCAGTCTGTACGATCAAGCCCGAGCTCCTCCCATTACTGATTTACTTCAAGTTTTACTGGACGAATGTTTGGTTAAAAGGAAACCACACCACACTAACCAGAGTTGCTTTCAGAGCCAGCTCAGCTACTCTTGCACTCTTTTGAGACTCCTTTGAATCTTCTATCTTTTCTTTAATTTCAGGAAGAAGTCCCTTCAGTTCTTCGATCTCCTTCTCATCTTCAGGGGACCCACTTTCTGCCTTCTTTATTCGCTCCGTAAGCATTGCTAGGATGAAACAGTCACCGTGGCAAAACACCTCAAGACAAAGTAGCTGTCCAGTTACCAACCCCCAGAGGCAAGGAGCTGCTGACACACACTGCTTCAACCATTCCGGATCAGTATATCCCGTCACCCCTTTCAGGTATCAACTACTTTTAAGGCAGTTAAAGTCTGCTTCGACTCGTGAAAAGCTCCCACAGTCGAACAGTTCTAGAAATCCACTTACCCATCCTCTTGTCAATGACTTCTACGGATTTACCGAACTGCAAAACCGCCTCGTCGAACTGGCTGTTGTAGTGGTACGCCAGCGCCAGCTGGTAGTGACTCTCGGCAAGCAGGCGGTCGTGATCCTCCAGGTACTTCTGCTGCAGGGCCAGGCAGGCCTGAAACTCTTCGATAGCCTGTGTGTAGTTTTCTAGGGAAGAAGCCACAAGGTCCTTCCAAGCCACACTCATTTATCCAAACAAGCAAGATCTAAACCCTTATTCAGCTGCTCTGTATTTTATTAGACTTTATACAACACTGCCTCCCACCTCAAAGATTGTTTGCAGTCCAGTTCCTCTGGACTGTAAAGAGTGCTTTGTCTATTTACAGCAACACAGCAAACCAAGCAGCCAAGTCAAAACCAGGCACAGAAATCCTGCTGTTTTACCTGCTACCATGAATTGAATTTAACTGGTCACAACTGCAACTTCAATCTAGAGGTAAGGAGAGTCCCCTGCTAACTTCCAGTCAAGCTATCCATTGAATGAATTCTAGTGAAATAAAACACAGCCTTCATTTTGCAGCCCTGGTCCAGAAACCTGTCAGATTATTTCCAGTGCTTGTCCAGAAAGATTACACTCTACTTGGATTCAGTAAGATTAAAACACATTTTTAAATGCAGGCCAGGTACAACACACTAGAAGGCACAAACCTGGGGCTTACTTCCCACTCCTTTTTTTCTGCTGCATAACCCAGAGTCTTTCCTGATCATGCCCCAGGATTTTGGAAAGTCTAGAGTCAACCATTTTTCATCTGCAGTCTTCATGTTCTGGAAGTGGCATGGTACTGACACCTCCTATTGAACTCAGAGACTCACTGCTTCAGTGAGGAAAGTCTCTCCCAGGTTTCTGAAGTTAACCAAACCTTGCCTATAAAGCAGAACACAAGGCTGTTTTTGATCTGGTAACAAATTACTTGTTACTGAAAGCTTTCTTTCACCTTTCTGGAAGAGCACGGGCTATCCTGTTGAAGGCACTAACTTGTTCATCCATTGATTCCAAACCTTCTGACATGGCTGCACTATCATAATTCGACAAACTATTTTTTTTTTTTATCATCTTAACAGACTTAACTCACCTCCACTCATTTCAAAGTATGAAAGAGTGACAGAAAGTGGAACTGAACACTCTGTACATGAGATTTAACATTACTTACCGGATTCAACGCTAACTTCTCCTAGCTTTAGATGAGCTTGAGCAGCATGGAGCTGAGCTTCTTTTGTCTCTTGTCTAAGTCAAGAAAAGAAAAGTAGTTTTCAAGTTGTCATCAGAATATGCCACATCCCCCCAATTTACAATGAGTTTCTCTAGCACGTATCCAAATTAGGACTGACGTCTTTACCTCTTGTAGATGACTTTTGCCAACTCCAGCATGTCCCAGGCTAGCTCAAGATTTCCAATTTCATCCTCCTCACTTTCCTGTAAAGACTAGAAATTAATTAAAGATTAAGTGACTTGGTTACATATCACATCAAACAACACAACTAAGTTTCCAAGCAGTGTTGGCAAGGAATAAATTTGAGATAAACAGTTTACCACTAGAAGGTAAAAACAGAAGAAAAGAACATGCAGAAGAGGTTATTGCATCAACCAAGACTTTGCCTGCAGTGAAGATGTTTTAGGTGGAAGATAAGCTTACACTGTTAGTCAATATGGCCTCAATTACTTTTCCAGAAATAACAGGCACCAATATTAAGATTTTGTTTAAAGTGCTATTTAGATGAACCAAAAGCTAAAAGGAGTTGACATTTCACTTTTTTTTAAAAAGAGTTTTTGAACTTTGTTACAACAGTCTGAGGAAGAGACAGATAGTCTATTCAAGACAGTTGTCCAGCATGCTTAGTATCAGACTCTAATAGGCTTCAGAGTTTTCCAAGTGTTTTGACTGCTACATCAACGTAACACCCCAGACTCAAGCAGCATTACACTTCTCTCTACACTCCCACCCCAGTCATGCCTTACCAGACTCTGTGCGTTCAACACGCATAGCGAGACAACGAAACAAGCAGAGAATAAACCACCATTACAAGTAACTAACTTTAGTGACCAGCTAAAGCATCTCTCCTGCCTGCCCCTGCCTTCACCGGGCTGCATTACCCAGCAGCAGGCTGCAAGCATAAGTTTCAGTGTAGCTAAACAAGCCCAGGCTTACAGACAGAGCAGAGCCAGAGCCTACAATGCAGACTGCACATGACGCTGCCCCTTCCTTAGGCAGTACTGGGTTTCAAAAGTAATTTCCTACACGGGACTAAATTAAATACAAGTGAGCTTTTATAGAGATATTAACACAACATTTAGACAAATACTGCCCTCTTCCATGAGCACTGATATCAGAGCTCAGCAATCTCACCTTGTCTTCCACTGTCAATTCGTTCTCCTTATCTTCAGCTTTCTCATTTTCTTTATCTTCCTCTTCAGATTCTTCTGTTTCTACAAGGAAAGTAGGTGAATGAGAGCACTTCTTGTTACTACACTCGCTTCACATGGAGTCAGGCAGAACATATTATAACCAGCCCTTATCCTTCCAGTGACGGGTTAGATGTGTGATATAAGAGCACAGATACACTAAACTCTTAGCAGCCATCTTGCTGAAAGTGTTAGGTACCCTTAACCCTCGTTTTAAGTTTCACTTCATACTAACTAGAACAGAAACTTACAGACCCTTCACAGTTCTCACAAATGCAATGTGAACTCCCACTGAAGCCACAGGATCCCGAGCAGCCCCGGTGCTACTGGTCAGCAGCTGGACTTCGTGCTACAGGTAACGTGTTTTCAGCAAGATAGCTGCCAAGCTGTGTACAAATAAAACTGTTCCTGAATTTCTGTTCCTCCTGTCAGACATTTAAGTGGCAACTTTGTTAACGAACTTGCTGTTGTGCATCACTGACTTGACTTCTGATACTGTGCAGGAGCTTGCACCAACTAGTCTATCCGTAGAAAACATTTTGGGAAAATGTGAAGTATGGCTAATAACTAGAGCATTGGTTGACTTGCATGCTAGAGTTGCACACTTAGTTCCTGTATCATGACCACTGATTATAATTCCAGAACAGGAGCTTGATGGGGTGGAGACTAGAGGACCCGTGAGCTCATTGGTCTAACTCCAAAAGGCACACCTACCACTGAGAGGGCCAAACTTGCAAGTATGAGGACAGCTCAATCAAAGGTAAAACTGAAGAGATGTTCAGAAGTTAAAATTTAAGTAGTGGGAGGAGTCTGGAATGACACAGCACCAGACCAGGATGTTCAAGAGCATCCTCACACTAACGGAGTTGGGGACAAAGAAGCAGCAGTGAGTGTCTGTAAGCAGCCTGTCACAGGACAACGAGGAGTGGGTAACTACCCTTGGCTTACATTCAGTCATACTCTGTTAGGCAGCTGCTCCACTACTGAGCATTCACTGTGCCCTGCGCTACAAATCCTTTCAGTGTCCAGAACTACTTTATCTGAGTATGTGCCACTCTGAAAATAAGGCTCTTCCTGGGAAGCCAAGTTACTGACAAGCAAAGTTTCAATTATCAGCTCATCAATTAATTTATACAATAGAAAGCCCTGGCCTACTAAGACCACAGAACTAATACTTCAAAGTATACCAGTTTTACTAAGTTACTTTAACATAATCCTGAAAACAGCTATAACGAAGCAGGGAAGCAGAATGGCAGAAAAAGCTAGAGAGCAGGGAGACTGTGCTGGATAGTAGCATTAAGCCTTCAGTTTCCAAGACAAACTAAGTTTAGATTTGCCAACCAAATTCTCACTTGTAATTACCACCAGAAAGACTCAACTACAGAAGTCCTTCCCCCCACCAAAAGCAAATTTACTGTCTTGTTATGTATTCAGTTGTTCTTATTTTTCTGCTCCACTGTTTTAAAATAAAATACGGTTATAACCAGAGGCAACTTGTGCTTCAAGTTATTTGAAGGTTAGTGCAATAAACCCAGATGCATGCAAGTGAGCATCCATTCAGTATTCTCCACCAGCCCAGCCATTACTTACACATTTCACAGGGCTGTAAGTTTGCTTTCAAGATTTGCTTTGCAGTTAGTTAAGCGTTAGTCTAAAGAAACTGAGACTATTCACTATTCCTTGAAACTTTAACTTGGATGTAAAATCCTTCAAGAACCCCTTTACTGTACCTTTTCCTTATTTTAAGGCAAACAGAAAATTCTGAATGGAACACTTTTTACCCATTGTTAGCCAAATCCATCAAGTCATCCACCCACAAGTACTTTTCTCCTCTCACTGTTACCTTCTCCCTCTTCCATCAGGTCATCTTTCTCTTCTTTTTCTACCTTAGCACCTTCACCCTCTTCCATCAGGTCATCTTTCTTTTCTTCTTTCTCTACCTTAGCAGCTACTTCAGCCTTTTCTTCCATGTCATTAGGCGGCTCTTTGCCCTCTGTGGGCACAGGTTCCTTTGAGGACTCTGTCTCTTTAGATTCATCCGGTTTCTCCTCTGTAGCTGTCTCTACTGGCTCTTGTTTCTCCTCCACCTTCTGTTCAGCTCCTTCTGCTTCCCCTTCTGCAACTTCTTTCTGCTCCACAGCAACTGGTGCCTGCACTTCTGCTGTCACTTGTGCTACTGCCTTCGCTTCCACAGCTGCCTCTGCCTGCCCTTCTACAGCCTCTCTCTTTTCCACAGCTGGCTCTTTTTCTGTTGCTTCTGCTGTCCGCTCTCCCACCGCCAATTCTCCAGCCTCAGCCTCTTCCACTGCTGCCTTTGTCTCCTTGTCTGACACTTCTGTCGTTCTTTCCTTCTCACTTGCCTCTGCTACCTTGTCTTCAGGCACCATCTTCTGCTCTTTTTCCACTACCTTCTCTTCCACAGCTGCCTCCTCCTTTGTAGCCTCATTTTCCACAGCCACCTGCTGTTTCTGCTCTTCTGAAGTTACTGTTTCCACAGAAGCCTCCACCTTCTCTTCAGCCTCTTCAAGCTTTACTTCCTTGTCAGCAATTGCTTCTCCTGGGATATCTTTCACTTCAACATTCTCCTCTTTGATTTCCTTTTCAGGTAGTACTGGAGACTCCTCTGTAGACTTTTTGGCCTCTTCTTTTTCCCCCATGGCGTTATATACCTGTTCTCTCAACTCCTCCCTTGCATCTTCTACATGATTGAGGAAGCATAAACATTTCTTCGAGTTTAGTGATAAAGACATTAACGGGCACTGATAACACCACCCTCAGACCCTCCAGTGTTGGTTCGTCATCAGATTAGATGACATTCTTAAGAGCTCCATTTTCAAAGTAAAGGAATTAGGACACAACCAACATAACTTGAACTAAGCAAATCCCTTCCCCTTCCCCAGGCTGCATTATAGCAAGCGGCCGCTCAAGCAGTGTGCAGTTTTGCGCGCTAGCGTTTTTAGTCACAGCTAAGCAAGAGGTGCCAGTGCTTTAATAGTCTGGATTGACAGGAATTCCTGTATTATCTCCAGCTGCAAGTAGTACAAACCAGTTACTATTCCTGGACTTTTTACAGAGACTCTGATCTGTCCTACTACACACTCTGTACCGCTACAAGGTTACAAGGCAGTTCAAGTTGACTGTGAAGCTTAAGAAAGCAAGGTTGAATGTTGTGTTTCAGGACACAGACACCTGGTGACCCTTTACACATGCTTTAAGTGACCAGTTCTTTGCAGAAGTTTGAGGGTTTTTTTAATCTTTAAGCAAGATTAGAACAAAAAAAAAAAAAAAAAAAAAAAAAAAGAGTCCATTCAGGCTGCTAAAGTTTCAACAGAATTATTCAGGCTACCTCGGATATCAATGGACTGAACTTGGATCATTTAGACAAGAAAACGCACCTTGGTGACTCCACAACAGGGCAGACAGCTTTACATACCATCAACAGTTGGTAACGCAGAATCTCCTTCAGCTTTTTCCCCTTCCTCTTCAACCTGCACCCCTTCCAAGGCATTTCCCAGCACACCATTTTCCATTCTAAAGGGAACAAAAGTTTGTTATCCCTTAGCCCTTGTAATAACACCATTTTCACTGCACAAGCTGCAATGCCATGGCCCATCCCACCTCATGCAACCCCGTACATATGAATTTCTGTCTAAATGAGGATGAAATCCTGTTAGGCCAGGCAGACTCTTAATCTGCTAGCATACCTTGCCAACTCCAGGAGAGATTTTCCATAGTAAAAAAAAGCTTCTGCACACTCATCCGCTGTCTCACCATACTTTTTTCCCCTAAAAAAGTAATGAAGAATTATTTTGCCTGTGCCTACTTGAGATTTTGATATGTCAACTTGGAAGTTTAAAAATTCCTGGACAGGAAGAATCCATTCCTTAGCTCGTCTCCCATTGTTTCAAACAAATAATGAATGCTCCTCTCCTTTAGCTAGACATGGGTATCAAGCACATAGCAAAGCAAATTAATCTAAAACCCAAAGAGGTATCACCCTGAGAGACCGATCGATTCTAGTAAACAAGTGACTAACAAGCAACACTATCTCGTTATTTTTGTATTAACAGACATCAGAACCACACACTGCAAAACAAAGTATCAAATCCCTTCCCTCCCTTAGGGAGCTGCACTGGCAATTACCATCACAAAAGCTGCCTAAATTGCACACCCACTACAGTATTGTCCAACACTCCAGTTAATTTAAATAGTTCATCCTCTCCTTGGTTGCATTATAAACACAGCAGCATATGTAAGGTAAAAATCTCAATCTTTCTTGTACAAGCCACATCAGTTTAGTCAAGCTGAAAACCAAGCCCTACAAAAATACACAAAACATCCTGGTACTCACAGTAAGCTCGCAGCCTCCTGGAATGCATTAACAGCAGCTGGAATATTTCCCATTACCAAGTGTTTCTGTCCTAGACCCAACAGTTTCTTTGATTCTCCATCCACATCCATACTGGAGGGAGAAAAAAACATAAGTAAAACCAAATACAGGATATTCTGTAGTTTCCTTAATAATTTCATGTCCAGCTTTCAAAACCTAGTCAGCTTTCTATAAAGTGAGTTGCATACATTATGCTGGTTGGAACTACCAGGGTGGGAAGGTTGTTTCCTTAAATCTGGATGAACCTTTAGTTCTGATGACTGAAGGCAGACAGGTTAATTTTAACAAATCGCTGCAAGAAGGGGGTATCAGAATCTGATATGACAAAAGATGCTATAGAATGTACTTTACGGAGTTGCACACCAACATAACACCGAGTACCATAGAGTGTTTCACCAGACTCCGATACTACCTAAGCCAAGAAAAAGAAGAATAAACCCAATTTATGACTGCTCATAGCACATCATGAGGCATTTGAGAATAACGATAGATGCAAACCTTAGTTTCAATTCAGTGTGTCTCACAGAGCTCCATTTCCAAGAGGTCCAGAGGAGGACCGCTACGTGCTAGTCACGTACTCGTACCTCCCCAGTGCTTCCCCAGCACTGACTCACAGATTAAGAGCTTCCTAAACAACAACTGGTATTTGTGTATTTATTAGACCTTGAAAGGGTTTTGTTGGGGTAGATTTGTGCAGACTACTGGTGAGCACAAGTTATCAGCACCTACAGCGTCCACATCTGTTAAACTTCAGGCCTAACAACTGACTGAAGGGCGACCTTTTTGTTTCACTGACTAACCCCTGGGTTTCGCGTTCTCTAAGTAACTGACAACTCCGACCTCACCTGTCTGTCTTGTCTGTGGATGTGGAAGTGGAAGGAGCTGCCAATTCCTCTTCCATCCTGCAAACAAAATATTGAGTAGGCGTTAGTAACAGGCTACCCATTTTGTGTCAGGAACTGAGCTCTCAGGGGCGTGAAACCAGGGAAGGGTGCGCGCTTTCAGGTGTCTGGCCACCTGCAGCGAGTTCGCTCCGCTGGTTGTTTTTCGGAGAAGACCATTAGTTTCAGTTTTGTTCACTGATTGAGCGAAAGACTGTCAGGAAAGCAAATGTTTTGACGCTTGGGTCGGACCAAACCCGGCCGACAGACCTGCCGCCTAAAAACCAGGACCGCCCACCCGTGCCAGCTCGCAGCCCCGCGGCTCAGCGCTCTCCCCACGCGAGCCAGCGGCACGGCACCGGGTGTTTCGCCCTGCGATTCCCGGCAGGGCGGCTGACAGCCGCCGCGGCGGGCTGAGGGAGCGCGGGGGCGGCTCCGCGGGCGGAACAAAGGCCGGGCGAGGCGGGCGGCAGCCCCCGGCCCTCCCAGACAATGGGCGCCTTTCCCGCCTTCCCCCCGGCCCCGCCCCCCGCCGTTGGCGCCAAACCCCGACGGCGGCTCCTGACGGGCTGACGGCCCGGCGTCACGTGACACCGCGGGACCACCCGCCGCCCCCCCCTCCCCCTTCCACCCCCCCCCCCCCCCCCACCCGAGCAGGATCCGCGGCGTCGGCTGCCCCCAACAAAGATGGCAGCAGCCGCGCACGGGGTCACGTGGTGGTTCCCCGCGAGCCGAGCGGGCCCAGCTGGCGCTGGAGGAACGGGGCGGCACGTACCACCGCCCGGGGGGGGTGGGGGGTACCGGGGGGGAAGGAGGAGGGGTGAAGGGGGACAGGGCGAGAGCAAGACCCGCACACCCAGCCCTCCCCCTCAAAGGAAATCCTGCCCGCCGCCACCTCCTATCCCCCCCCCCCACCTCCACGGCCACCCCGCGGCGCGAAAGCGCACCCCCCCTCCCCTGCTGCCCGCCTTCCCCCCCCGCCACCTCCCGACACGCACACACCGGGAACGGGACCAGCCCGCGCGGCCCTACCTAGTCGGGGAGGCCGGCGCGGGCTCAACGCAGGGGAGAGCGGCGACGGCTGCAGACTGCATAGAAGCTGCTGGAGACAGGGGCGGTGGCGGCAGAGTGCAGACCCCTGCCCCTCCGGCTGCCTATATACCCCCCGAGGACACGCCCCGGCCCGCCTCGCGGCGCGCGCACGCCGCGGGGGGACTACCGCTCCCGGCACGCCCCGCGCGGCTGCGGCCCCCCAGCGTCCCGCGGAGGTTGGGCGCGAGGCATGCCGGGAAGCGTAGTCCCGAAAAGGACGGGCGGCCGGGGCGGGCCGCGCGGCCCTCTGGGAAGTGTAGTGCCGGGTGAGGCGGGGGCGGGGCCGCGCCGGGAGCCGCTGCCGCGCGGCATGCCGGGAAGTGTAGTCCACCACCCCCGGGAGGCCGCGGCCGCGCTGCTCCCCCCCCCCCAGTCCCGGGGGAAGCGGGGCGGGTTGGGCGGGGGCAGCCCGGCGGGGACGGGGAGCAGCGCCCGAGCCCGGCCCGTGGCTGCTGCCGGGTCTCCTCCGGCCCGGCGCTGCCTGGGCGGGCGGGCAGCCCCTGCCCCTGCAGCAGCGCGATCCGCAGCTCACGGACGCGGCGCGCACCCCGCTCCACCCCCAGCCCGTTCTCGGACGGGCTCGTATTTCCCTGCCTGGCATTTGACATGGGGGGGGGGCTGTAGCGCCCCTGCCCCGGCATAATCTCGCCCCCCGCGCCCTCAGGCGATCGAGGGTGAGCCCTCGTTCGCGCAGCCGCTTCGCTTCTCCCGCAGCACACGGGACCCACCGGACAAGGCAGACATGGCCGCGGCCGCTCTGACGGCAGAGACCGCCGCAAAACTCGCGCAGCAGCAGCAGCAGCAGCGGAGCCGCTGGCGGAGACCCGGAGGCTCATCCCCCCCTGCGCGATGTCGAGGTGAAAGCTCCCCCGTCCCAGCTGAGCGGTGGTGCTCCATGCAGCGACAGAGCTGGGAAGGGCGGGTTTAATAGATACGCACAATTAATTGCTTTCCTGGGGAATCCTCTCTGCCCGCTTGCTTGCTTTTGATTAGAGAAGTAATTAGAAAAAAAAGTTAATTGGGGCCCTGACATTAGGGGGAAGGGGGGAAAAAGTCTCAGAGTCATACACCGAGTACAGTATTTATTTAAGACATGCAAGCATGCAAGCTGAAATACACGCAACAAAAGCCACTTGGTAGGACGACCGCTGTTAACATTCTACATAGCTCCTTCAAAGTAAAATTGCTTCCCTAATGATTTGCAGTAAGAACCGTATTCAAAGTCACCCGTGTTTGATTAGAATAAAAAGCCAATAGGGATTTCATTTCCCTTAGAAGAAAGCGTCCAGTCTAGTAAAGATTCCTAACTGAGCTGGAATGGATTTCTCCACTGAGGTAAATTCAGCAGGAATTAGGAAACACTTTATTGAGGAACAGAAGTTCTTTAAATTCTACATAAGGATTACAAAAAGCAATAAACAGGCTTGTTCCCATTCAGCTGCATGCTGAGGCCCAGGGCAGGAAATACTTGAGGAGGAATGATGCTTGAGATGAATGTATAATTTTACTATAGGCCTACTCTAAATGAGGTTATCAAAACTCAAAGAATCTAATTATTTTTTGAACTATGTGAATGCAGAGGATTTTTTTTTCTAATTCTGTGTTTGTTATTGCTATGTGAAAAATAAAATGTGTTACTTCACTTACAGGCAGTTAAGCTTTCTTTATCTGGCAGCAAATGAGGAGTCGTGCCTATGACTGTCTCTGAATGGCATCAACAGCTCTGAAAGAGTGCCTTTGTTTTAAATCCAAGAGGCCTTTAGAAACTCTGCCTTGCTAAACCAAAATAAAGTGTTAACATTGCTAAGGCCACAGAAGGTATCACCACCAGAGTGCTGGCAGGTGCTAAGACAGCATGTGTAGTCAGATGGCTAGACAATTCATTATGAGATTGAAACAAAATAAAACCGTTGTTAGAGCTAGAGTTCCAGTCCTGCTCAACAGCGTATCAGCACTCAGTAAATTCCTCCCTGCCAGAGTAACAGAGGCACAGGAAAGGCAAGTGACTTGCCCGGCGCTGCCCGCAGGCCAGCGGTAGGACAGGAGACAGGACCAGCTCATTAGAATTGCAACATGAAAACGGCAGGGGCCCTCTGACAGGTCATTGCTCTCACTGCACAGTCAGGAACTAATTTTGTGACCTTGCAGAACTCAAACTGGACATCTTTGGTAAAGAGACACTGGGCAACTTCACGGGAAAAGCAGGGTGGTTTTCTGCAAGACTTACTAAAGATTTCTTGAGGCTTTTGTGGTAGGAGGATCAGAACTATTGTCAGAGCTGAAACCTATCCCTGTGACAAGCACCAGAGAGGACTACCCTGAAGGCCTGAGGCAGGGTATGCATTTATTCTCCTTAAATCTACAGGCGAATTAAAAGAAAAACAAAATAGAGAATTCCAAGTCCCACAAGTACTCTAAAGTGGATAAAAAGCACTGGGCATGGCTGGTTACTTGGGTTTTAATCGTTTATGGAAATAGTGCAACTGTAGCACATTTTACTTTATTCCTTGTATAAAAAAAATATTAAACATATTAAAGTTGATGGCTGAGCAGTTGCTCAGTCTTAAAATGCTTTCATGCCTTCACGCTGATTTTTTTTCTCTCCCTTCATGGTAATAACTAAAGCTTTCAAAACTCTTTCACGGGCAGTAAACCCAAAGTATTGCCCTACTAGCCTGATAACGACATGTTTGGAACTTGACTTAGTCTTCCCCAACCTTTATCTAATCCCCAAAAGATTTGATGCTTCCAGGAGCAAGCTTGTAGTCATTGTTACAGATCCACAAACTTTGACATGGAAGGCAGAGTATCTCCAGAAAGGAGGTCAACTAGAAGCGGTACACTGTAAATTAACCTACTCGAGAAGGAAGGTTTTATTTGGACAGGGTTTTTGACAAATTATGGCAACAATTATTTTGTGGAAGGGCACACAGAGGAGCACGTTACACTAACACCTTATTTTCTAGTAGTTAATAGGGGTCATTGAAGGGGTAATGGGGGTGTCCAGCATCTCTTGCTACTAGCTTTCCATCCATCTGTGAAGTAAACACACAGACACAAGTCAGAAAGATAAAAATCCATTCTTACTCTCAGTTTCAAATCCTGCATGGCTGAGATTTCTAAATCTTCATATCCTAAACATCTGGGAGCATCTTTTTCAGCTTAAACAAGAGCAGTTCTCTCTACACGAGTCCTCTTAGCACTTCTTGAAGGAAAAATGTAAAAAGTAATTAAAAAAAGGAGATAGATTTCTGTAGCCTAGAGCAAGAGTCATTCAAGCTGCTGAGGCTTGAAGAATTGGATTAAGAATAGTTAAAAGCCTTTTGCCTTGTTACTGAGTAAGTGTTGTAACATGCACTCTTCAAAAGACTTTACTGGAGTTGGAACTATTGCCCATGTTTTCATGACAGAGTTGCTGGGCTGCCAATTTTACAGATGGATAAGACGAAACACATTGAATAACTTGTTCAGGGTCATATACTGAAACATTAATAATGTTACTGAACTCCTTCATAGCACTTTTTTTTTTTTTAAGAACATTTCCACAGAAGACCAGCTTCTTCAGCTGTAGCATGGGAATACTGAAACCAATATTCATAGATAATGAAACAGGGGCTCCCGCTGGCCCAAAAGCAGACGTGGCCATGCAAGTCTCAGTTCCTACATTCCACCTCCAAGCATTCAGATGCACAAGCTGCACTTCTAGTTGCACCGAGTCCACTGCAAGAACTTCCTACTACTTCCAAGGAGCCGAGGCAAAACCTTGCTCCTCATCTGTATCATTTGGGGAACTTCAGGTGCAGCACTGGCAGATACACACACCTCCCCAGGTGACAGACTAGCATCATTCAGCTAAAACTTATATTGACTAATGACTGAATAAAAGTTATGTTAGAGAAACAATTTTTTTTTACATATATAAACGTGGGTTTTACACATAAAAATGTGCTGTTAGAGATGACTCAAAATGTTACAGGGGCAGAGGTAATCACAGGGACGTTCAAACCAAGCATCCACTATCAAGTCCTGCTATTAGCTTTCAGTATAAAATCTGAATTTCAGAGCAACAACTGGAATCCCTAGTAATGAACTGTTTACAGTAACTACTGAAGGCTGAAATTAGTCACTTGGGGGCACTATAGAGCAGAAAACTAAGATGTTAAGGTTTAACATTTGACTCGATGCTCAGATTAAAATAAAACTGAAATTAAGCTGTCAGCTGAAGGCAATCCTTAAAGCTGTGGACAAAAGTATCACAGTATCTTCAGGTTTCTTCATATTGTCTCAAGAGCCAACAACTTCCTCATGTTCCTAGAATTCGTATTCCTCATTTTTGCCCCCCGTTTCTTCCCCTGCACATTTTGCTATACACCACAGCTCTTCAGGTAAATATTCTTGTTCGCAGCATGCCAAGACAGCAACTGCCAGAAGCAATATTTCACATAGCTGATTCCAGTCTACCCAAGGAATGCGAGAGAAGGAGGGGGAGTAAAATCAGCAGTGAACACACTGCAGGTCAACAGTAGCTAATGGCCAAAAATAGACAGATCATCATAGGAACGACACCATCACTCCTCCTTCTCTTGGCTTGCTGGTCATTCAAGTTTCGCTTAAATGCTTCCAAAAGTTTGGATTTCAGGCTGGTGCAAGGTAATTTTCAACCTCTACCCAGATAATGAACTGTTAAAGTATAAAGCATCTTAAATTGTCTACATGCAATGGGAGAGCCTCTCAGGCTGTAAACAAAACACAATGTGGAGAAGAGCAGCACAACTATAAGAACTTGAGTTTATATATCAATGAAGTAAAGCAAGGAAAAACTGTCTCATCAGTTATGATAGGAGCTCTGATATCACTGCTATATCACACTCTGAAATCCAGACACTATAACTTAGATTCAGAGAAGATAGGCATGAAAGGTTAGACAGGAATTTTAATTCACAGTTGATGAAAATTCTTTCCGATAAGCCCAGAAGGGACAGGCAGGAGACAAAAGGTTCCGCTAGAGATCTCACAGCTACAGAGTCATGTTTTAATTCTCTCATCTTGCTTCTTCCTGTCTTGTTATCTGACAATATGGCAATATCTTTGAAGCCCAGCATCACATTCACCATTTTTCTACTCGGATGGGCTAGCACTTTGAACTCTATTTCATCTCACCTTTGTGAATCACTGTGATCTGATCAGGTCTCCCAGGTAACAAAAGCACATGAATTATCCCTGGCTCATCCAAGCCAGGCTACATTCAAATGTATTTTGCAGTTTCATTAACAAAATAACCTTGTTGGCAGCATGAGTAGCAAAACACTTCAAACAAACATACTGTCAGCAGCAGGTGTGCTTGTCACTACCACACTCACATAGATCAGCAGCTAAGCTTGCAGTTTGGTGTACAGACTACTGATCCATAAACACAAAGATAATTTTGGTTGCAGTGATTGGGGGGGATTATATTTATGCATACACACTGAAGCAACCATACAGTTAAAAGCACAGCCTTGAAGCTCATGTAAGCCCTAGCATGACAAAGAGTGAAAGCTGTAACAAGTATCTACCCTTGATACCAGAGTCATTCACCAAACATTCACAACTTGTCTAATTCAAACTAGTCACAAATATGCTCTCAAGTACTCAGAAAAACCCAGTGATAAATCCTGGAGGAAAAGCTTTTCCCAAAGAATTCCTATAGCCAGTGCCCACTGACTACTGAAGAATAATTTACAGGCAGACAAACTGCTGGAGAGGCAAGGGTATGCTTGACAGCTTCCACATCTGCAGAGACCTACTGTACCTACGCAGTGTACCGCATGAGAGAGAATGGATAAATCACTTCGGACTCATTCTATCATAGTTGCCATATGTTGGTCAATGATGCACCAGGGAATGGTAACAGATCTGTTCTACATCCAGAAGCAGGACAATAAGAAATGAGGAATACTATAAAGACAGGAGACAGCAAGGCATTGACTTTTTTTTTTTTTTTGCATTGAGGGGAAAGGAACAACAGACCAGAAGGACTTCAGCACTTCCAAGGCACTGGTTTATCTAAAACCAGACTGGCACCTGATAGCACAAGAGGTAAGGTTCCATGTGAGAGAGTAAACTACCGATGCTAAAAGATGCTGTGGCTAATGGATCTGGGAAGAAAAATACAAGCCTAAGCCAAAAATTACACTGGAGGAAGGTCATTACAACAGATGCTGAAAGGGGGGGACATCCAGTGAAGGGGAGCAGATAAATTTCTTCACGTGACTTCCACGATGGATGTGGAGAACTAACAGCACGCCGAGCCTTCACTGATCTTAGAGGTTTATGGTACCTTAGCGGTAACAGGGACAGTTGGAACAAGGACTACTTCTGGAGGAATGGCATAGACCTTAGCCTGCTCATACGTGAGAAGAGCAAATCAGCAGGAGTTTGGTGAGATCTGAAACAAGGTGGGACTCTGGCTTAAAAGGCCCATGGACAGGTCAGTAATGAGAGCTCTAGAGTGCCATCACTGGCCAAAACAGAGGAGAAAAGTTTTCAAAAAGCTACCTTTTTTGTACACAGCTTTTGAGAAATTCTTTCATCTTAGATACCCTAAAAAGATGTAATGTTCTTATGAGTAAGTAGTTCCGATGGGGACAGTAAAAGAAAGGAAACTGTAAAAACCCCAAGTTGTGGCCACATGCACATAATGAAAACTAACTGAAACATGGAGAAATTTACCGTAATTGTTGGCACAATGTAACGCCAGTTTTTATTCAGGCTTCCAATGTGGCTCATCTCCTCTTCTGTGAGGCTGAAATCAAACACCTGAGAACAAAAGCAAGAGGCTTTATTCAATAACTATAAGTTTTTCATACTTAGTTGGTGTTGAGTTTTGCCTCTTGGTTTTGTTTCCTTTGTAAGTCACAACCATTCCCTTGTGCTGTGAATTTCTCCAGAGATCCACAAGCAATCCACAAGGCAAGAAGATTCCACTTCTCAATACTCCAGGACAGAATGGAACAGCAGCAGTGACCTGAGACGTTGCTGACTATTTCAGTGTTTAATTTCAGGTGACAGTGCAACAACACAGTTGTAGTTGAGGCAAACACACATGCACACACACAAGACTGGAATATTTTATTAAGCTGTAGTTGCATAATATTTCTTTTGTACTTTCAGAAAGAAAACCTACGTACTATATTAGAGTTGCAAGATCCCAGTGTTAAACCCCAAGTAAATTAAACATAATGCACCTGTAATATTTCAAACACCTTCAGAAGCTGCAACTTTGATAACTCTGACCCTCAGAGTGATTTCCATGCAACTCTGATCAATAGAATTTATGTGTCTGTAAAAATCATGGCTTCAGACAGCATTAATTTGTCCTCTGTTTATTGAAGTTGCAATTAAACTCATATTATAACATACACCAAAACAAAGGCTTAAAGCCTGAGGTGTTCAGACACTTGCCAACTCTAGGTTTACACTGATACTACATAACACTCTTCCACAAAGATAAAAAGCAGTGAGACTTTTTCCAAGCATGTGCTGCCTATTCAATCAAATATTCCATTCCCGTGTAGATCTAAACCTCAAGTAACTGCACAGTTTACTGGAGTTTCTCAACATTTCTAGCAGCATGACTTGGCAGAATTCAGTGAGAGTAAGTTAAAGAAACAAGTTCTAACTTAAAAACGTGTAACCGGCCCATCTGTATGACTAAGGACTGAAAGATCACCAGGGGTGATTCAGAGACTTCCCTCCAAATCGTTGGAAGTCAGAGTTTTCAAATAATTTCTAAAGTGAACGGTCTTTACTTCAGAGCAGAAGTGAATCACATTACTTCTATTCCTTCAGCACCATCCTGCACCTTCACTTCCAGGGTAAAGCAACAGTTACTCATAAATAAGAAACACTAAACATCATTAGAAGACTCCCTTGTTTAATAAATTTGTGTCTCAGATAAATGAAAAATCTTTACTGAAATTTAACTTCTACAGAGTACATTCTTTACCTTTTGATAACAAAACCATACACATGCACATATGTGCACACTTTCACACTTAGTTGCTTAAAAGATAGGAAGTTTATTTTCCAAAAATCTTTATCCTCCCTTCTAAGCATGTGCACACACTGATGAACAAGTATGAACCAAGGGCCTCAGCTTGTTGTTCTGCAAGTAGTAGGACAGTGTACTACTCACATGAAAGGGCACTGCTGAAACTCCTTTCCTTCATTTAAACTTACCTGGAGATTCTGCTGAATGCGAGCAGGAGTCACACTCTTGGGAATGGCAACCACTTTACGCTGCACTTGCCATCTGTTAAGAGGAGGAGAGAGACCTTCTGTGCGTGCAGCCCAAGAACCACAATATTTATTTTGTTTGAACAATATTCTGTGTTTCTATGTGAAATAAAAACTCCCAGAAAAGGGCTGACATAGCACTGTATTGTATTAGGACCTACTACATCCAAGCTCAATCAAAACACTAGCCACTGGACTAATCAACGAGAGGAAGATGTTAATGCCTTTAAACAAGCAAGCAAGTTTCAAGTGCTTTAAGCTAGAAAACCAGGAAACAGAAAAAAAAAAAAACGTACTTAAGCATTTTACGCAAGTTCTAGCATGACAACCACCAAGAAACTAGAAGAAAACCCAGAGCCCTCAAGTGCCTGTCTAGTGGTTTGAGCCCAAAGCCTCGAACATGTTCAGCTGGCAGGGTAACTTGCTGCTGCCCAAGACCGTACTAGTGATAATTGATAGATGCAGAGCCAGACAAAAAAAGTGAGGATAGAAATCCAGTTTTACTTTACAAGGTGCTGATCGTATTCTGGGTATCAGTCAATCATCTTGTTTCCCAGTATTCAGCAGCTGGCTTTTGCTACATAAAAACAAAACAGCAAAGGGTTCTTCAGTGCGAAGAAGGAAGGTTCCTTCCACAGCCCCTCTTCCTGGGAGCTCATTTCAATGCAGTAGCAAGAGCTCAAGGGTTGAAGCAACTGATCACATGCGAATTCAGTAAGTGGCACTCAACTGTGGCACACTGCTGCCTTAACTGTCCTACTGCTATTCCCCAGCAGAAAAGGTAGTGAAGTGTCCCATGCATGGATCCAGGCCCTGAATGGACCACTTGGATCTAGTCCATCCACCTGCCCTAAGTCAGGACCAACTCTACCAATTCTGTAAAACAAGCACCAAATGCAATTCGCTTTTAGCACTCTGTGATTTTAACGCTCCATTGAAGGGGAAGAACACACACTTTAAGTAGATTCCTTCTAGCTTGCATGTTTTGCTTTAAGGCTAGGTCCCAAATGCTACCCTCTCTCAGTTGTTCTGTACCTGAGGATGATCTGTGCAGGTGACTTGCTGTATTTTTCTGCCAGTTTTTTGATCCCAGGTTCTTCCAGAAGCGTGGGCTCATCCGGGCGTTTCCATGTGCGATCTGGAGAACCAAGGGGACTGTAGGCAGTGACAACCAGTCCTCGTTTCTGGCAGTGAGCTATCAGCTCGTTCTGAGCTAGGTAAGGATGGCATTCTACCTATTAAAGTGACCCACAATGAGTGGCTAGAAAACAGATATCAACACAAAACTCTAAACAGGAAGTCAAAAGCACAGCAGAACTAGACACATCACAAGTCATTCCAGATTCTGGAAAACCTTACAAGGATAAGGTTTAAGTTAAGAGGAATGAAAAAGTGTCTGTTAGGCTATGTTTACAGGAAAAGGAGAATCGATTGTCTAAGTTTAGAGTGCTGGATTTTTCCCATGTACCAAACAGATCTTCCAACAAGCAAGGAAGCTCTCTATAGATGGGATTCAAGTTACTCAGACTTTTTTTTTTTATAGAGTAAAATGATCCTCACAGGGAAGACAAACTCTTCCACAGACTTGCTCAACTAAGCAGGCATAAATGGCCACAGAACGTGGACACAGGCCTCCTCCCCAACAGATTAATTTGCCTGGAAAGACCACCTCTGTGTGCCTACTCCTGCAGAGCCAGATGTATTCATCCCTGTAAAAGAGAAGCTATACCCCTTGTGCTAAACACATAACATTGGTTTGCAAATTCTTCACTCCTATGGACACATAGGAAAGGCAATCATCCTCGCCTTTATTCATCTTACCTGGAGCACAGCTGGCTTAACAGCAGCCACACTTAGTACATCATCGATCTGACGACTGTTGAAGTTTGACAGCCCAATGGCTTTCACAAGACCTTTTTCTACCAGCTTCTCCATAGCCTTCCAGGTATCCTTGTAATCAGTGTAATCATAACGCATCGTGTTATCAGCATTCTTTGGGAAGAGATTGTCCCCTCGTCTACAGCATCAAACATAAAGTGTAAGTACATACACCACATTATTGTATTATATTAGTTCTTCACTAAAAGAAACTTTTATCATAGTATTCTCAAAAGCTCCTACATAGTTTGAAGGGTAGAGTACAAACTAAGCAAATTTGTCTGTCAAATTCCATTATGCTGACTTAACCTATAAGAATTTATTTCACATACAGTCTTTCCTAAGTAAACTTGTTATAAAGTACTTCCCTGTATGGTAGTGACTACACAGAACTGATACACCATATACACAGCAGCAGCTCTTTGCACACTTTGATCCCAGCAAACAGCGGATTTAGAGAGCAGTAACTCATAAGGCAACTTCAGTTTTTCAATTTGTTTTTGAGGGAGGACTAATATTCTTTGTAGTCTGTTTGGAGCGGCTACCAAAGGGCTCTAGGAGAGACCGCATTCAAAATACACTGACTTTCCCACTCCCTCTGATTCTGTAGCAGTGTTAGCACTCAGTACAAGTACAGATTCTCACAGAGGTATTAAAATGTGCATGTTTGTCCTGGCTAAACTTGACAATGTTGACACTGTAGGTTGGGTGTGTTACCAGTTAGTCACACCAACATTTAAAAAAAAAAAATTAAAACCAAAACCAGTAAAGTACACACAAAGAACCTGGTTATACCAGGTGACACCACTACACTGCCAAAGGGCTAGGACTGGTCTCTGAGCAGCCATGCTTGAAGAGGTGCCAGCAATCTCACTGGAGGAGCGATGCTTCAGAACCACTGTGGGACTCTGCTAGCTCAGATCTCAGAGGCTGTCTTACCTTGCTCTAGCTATGCAGTGAATGGTGCAAGAAATGGCAGCAGCTGGGGACAAGGGGAGATGGTTCTTAAAGTCTGATAGATCTGGAACCAAAAATAACACTGAAAACTTTATGAGCTCCCAACTCAGAAAAGCAGCCTCCTATGTCAAGAGTAATAAACTGAGAGATTAATTTTCAAGACCTAGAGGCACTCTGATTTTCATCTGGAATTCTATTTTAATTTTTGTGGAAACAACATTCTTTTGCTTATCTTCCCAATACAATAAGCATTATAAATAACCATGCATTAGAACAGCTGAAGTAGAGCTAATGCAAAACTATAGTGAAGTCTCCCATGAGAAAACATAAAACTGCTTTATTAGAACATCAGTTTTGTCAAGTTTCCAAAACATCTAGCATGTTCAAATATTAGTAATATCTAAATATACATCATTATTTGTGTTATGTGCTATTATCAAAGCAATATTTAATGGTGAGGTTTGGGGGTTTTTTTGGTTTTGTTTTTGGTTGGGGTTTTTTTTTTCAATCAACTGGAAAGAAACCCTTTTTCACAATAGGGGGAATTTTTAACAGTTCTTCCTCCAAAGCAGCGCTAGTTGAAAACACTTCCTCATTCTGTCATGCTGAGGAATATATTCATACTTTGAGTGTCTTTCCTCTTATCGTTAGTGTTGTATGCTTTGTAAAAGTCAGTTCATATGACTAGGAGGGGGGAAAAAGACATTCTCAAATTTACAGGACAGAAGCCCCTTAAACTGACAGGGTTCCCCCTGTTGAGTGAATTCTCCATGCGAACATCTGCTCAGAATATTTATTCCCCGTCTGCCTTTTTACTGATTGTAGGGGCAGGGGGGTGGAACTGCTTCCCCATCTACAAGAAAATAAAGCAAGGAACTCTACTTCTGATCGGGTTGTAGGATAAGTGCATTTAGCACTTAACTGGAGAAGTTTCTCATCTCATATTTCCTCAGATCATAGAATTAAAGTGCCAGAAGAAGTTATTTTCATTTCCTTCTCAGAGATACCACCATGATACTGCATGTGCTTGGCCACTACAGTAGAGTTAATAACTATTAGTGAAAAGTGTTGTTGTCTTTACAAAGCACTTAATTCTCATTTTACAAGTAAAACTAAGGTACAAAGCAGTGACAGGATTTCTTCAAGGTTACCATGTAGGTCAACAGCAGAACCAAGAATAGCTGCCATACTTGCCCAGTATCTAGACAAAGACAATAGACTGTTTTAAACTTCTAATATATTTTAGACTCGACAAAAATTTTACCTCACAGCAAGCCCAATTTTCAGCTAGTGTAAGATGGCAAGCTTCAGTATAGAAACTTCTCCCATAAAGCTTTATTACTTTTTCTCAGTTAGGACTACTTTCAGTTACCTAACTTTGGCATCCATGCCAAAGTATCAGAAGTTTAGTGATCCTAAAATCATTGCCTAGTTGCTCTCCCTATTAAATAATTTAAGTAATTGCTTAAAGATTTTAAATGAAGACTTAATGCCTATTTTCCAGCCTCATCATTCCTAAATAATGAAAACAATTATCCCTTTTCTATTTACAATACTGCTACACAAAACCAGAAATTTTGTCTCCTCTACTGTATGTTTACAGATGTGCTACAAATCTAACAGTAAACAAATTCTCACCCAACTGAAATTCAAAGAAGAATGTAATTCAAACAATTGTTTCTACAAATGAATGGACCAAATATGAGTAAGTGTAGAGGTTATGGATAGAAAAGAGTGTCTATATGACAGGCCATAGGACTACACTATTAGCCACACTGAAAAACATTTCATAGACAGTATACACAGGAAGAAATTCGAAGCCCAGAAAGAAGCTCCTCAGGACGTAACACCAGCCACTTACGTAAAACTGGCGTTTCTGGTTTCTGTGCCCTTTCCAGGCAGAACTTACTCAAAGGCATGAGGCCAGTGCATGAGGTACAGGTCCAGGTAATCCAGTTTCAAATCTCCAAGCGTTTTCCTTAGTGCTGGCTCTACGTCTTCTGGGTGGTGCTTGGTATTCCAGAGCTTTGATGTTACAAACAGGTCCTCCCTTTTAATAACCTTTAAGAAAGGGAGGAGAGCATAATTTACTGGGAAAAGTTCAGAAAGGAAACTGCAGCAATTCGCCAACTAGCTTTAAAATTAATATAACAAGTTTTAAAAAAACAAAAGGGTAACAAATGGAAACTGCAAATTAAGCCTTTCAAAAATATACTGGATGGAGGACAGCAAGAGAAATACACACTTACATGGACAAGTCCTAAAGTATACCAAATACTTAGCAATTTATTAGAAGTTTTGAAAAGCAAAACAATCTCCTCCACACACTCCCCCCACCTCTTCTCCAAACTTTCCAATTCAAGGGTTAAAGCCACTACTAAGTGTGTTGTAGACTAAAGAAAGATTATTTAGTTTATTCATATGTAAATTTTGTAATTTCTATTTAACAATCAACAGATTCTAGGCACAACCAGCTAACTTACGCATCACATGTTACAAACCAAGAATGCTTCTCATGGAAAGAGTGTGGGAAAATAAACAGAAGTTTCCCCAAACCTCTGCACTTGTTCTGGGAGGAACACACTAAGAATTGAGTGCCCTGTACCCTGTACTGGAATGGTAAAACACAGAAATTAAACAAATGGAAAGTCCATGAACTAGGAAGTGTAAAACACAAAAGGGAGATCATGTTTGTCAAGCTGAAGCACAGAACACCATCAGAGGCCATTTCTCACTGACTTATGTAGGAGCAAGTGTCACTCACGTCTATACTTTGTAGAAGCTGGAATGATTAGTTGCTTAGTTTGTCTCCAGCCATTCCATTATTTGTGTTTCACCTACAGCTGTTGTATTCAAAGAGAAAGAGGTTTTAAAAATTCCAGTTTTGAGTTAGCTAGCTAATGCAAACTGAGTAAGAGAGTCCTATGCTTCTGCATATTAGTTAGTGTCCTTGGGGCAAACTGAAAACAGCATCTCTCAAGCTAATCACATAACAAAGAAATTGCCCTAAAGCCAAGGCAAGAGCAGCAGGAAAGCAGGGACATAAGACCTTTCTTTCCAGGAGCTCTGAGGCTGTACAGGTAATGCTTCTGGCCCCTCAGGCCAACAAGAGCAAGGGGTTGAATTTAAGATTCTACCTCAGGTCATCCATAGGAATGCCTGTCACATTACTTTATATTTAGGCCATGGACTCTCACTGCAGGACCTGGAGTCACAGTTACCAAACCTTCAAATGCAATCACTGTTTAAAAACAGTATTTATTTACTCACTCATATTTGATCTATAACAAAAAAAATCCAGTCATCAAATTTTCTGTGGCTACTCACCACTGCATGCTATTCTAAACTGACAAACTAGAGTAAATTTTCATATAAAGCACAGCAAATATTTTCCATTTTAACTAGTGATTCTGGGAACCTCCAATTTTTTGGACAGCCAAACTGGGATAGTTTGCAGGGTGGGGCAGGACAGGGAAATTTTAAAAGGCATTTTCTGGAGTTTCCATGCAAATATTTCTGGCAATCTTTTCTCCTCCTCATAGCCAGGACAGTTAGAGGAGAAAGCCCTCTTTCATGCTTGCTCCTGTTTAATAACAAACAGCTGGGATAGACCAGGAGGAAAAGCCATAAATGTTAACTTTACAGTCTACTTTCAGGTCACAGTTGTAAGTTTTGATACAACACACAGTCAGCATGGTGGTTCTTGTGTTTTTACCTTGTTGGGCCCTAGGCATTCCTGGAAAGCTTCACCAATCTCTGCTTCATTGCAGTAAGCTGCTGCACAATCAATGTGGCGATAACCCACACTTAGGGCATATTTCACTGCTTCTTTCACCTGTAATCAGAAACATTATCCAATACAATCAGTGAAAATTAATACATGACTGGAAGAAAAAAAAAAAAAAAAAAAGAGTTAAGGCCTTAGCCAGGAACACCCCCAAAGTACAGATCTACATAAGGTCATGAGACCCAGAGCAGGATACAGTCCCCTGTGGCACAGCCTTTAGGAATGAAAGCTAACTGCCAGCAGACCTGCCAAGTGTAACAAGAAAACAGACCATGCACACAGACCAAGCAGGCAAGAACTCATCAGACAGAATAGAGATTCATTCTTAACTGTAGTTGTTACACTTTTCTTAAATATAAAGTGAGCTTTAAGAAGCAGTTTTCAAATAAATCATGGTTTAGGAAGACAAACTTTCTGGGACTAACAGACCAGTTGATCCGTATCAGTCAAGCCTGGAAGATCCCTCCTTTCTCCCAGTAAAGGAAGAGCCTGGTTTACAATTCCAGAATTGCCAGAGTTTGGATTTTGTTCAACTGCTAACACTTAATTTCTAAGCTAACGCTATTTTATGGCACATTTTCCCTTCATTTCTCATTCTCATTGATTGCACAACAACAGAAGTCACTATATTGCTGAATATTAACCCATGGCCTGCAGGGGATCTCCTGATGATGCTCTCATCTTTGCATTTTGCTTTCCACATTGATGACAATGAGGATGTTGCCAACAGCAATGCATCCCTTGTAAGAATAAAGAATTACTATATATTTGAGTATAATCATAATCTCCCATCAGGTTGATGAGCATTAAGTAAAATCTAGTTCATTTAACTTCCAGTGGACAGCAAGCACATGTTCTCTTTTACATCTATCCATGTGAAGTGCTACAGTAAGAGTACATCTTACCTGTTCAGGGATTTCTGTACATTGCTTTTCATTGACTTGTATCTTGAGACTGTGGGAGATTGGAAATTACTCTGTATATAAAGGCTCGATGCAACAGGACCCTAACATATTTATAGAGATTAAGTCTCTCTTATCAAGAGATTAAAAAAAATGTGTCCACAAAGGCTAGAGAGATTGATTTCTTTCAACTTAATCGAAGTACTGGTATTTTCAATTTTAAAGCTGATAAAATTATTAACACCAATTAAAGACATGTACAGTCCTGCTTTCAGATGCTACAGAAACAGAAGGGGTGAAAGAGCTGTGAAAAAGATCTTTCTTCTACTGGTGGATTTCATTTGGTTTTCTTGTCAAGAATTGCGGTAAAGGCAAACATAGAATATTCTGACTGCATTCTTTGGCATTTTGAGAAGAAAACTGTAATGTAGACCAGTTTCCCTTAGCCAGAATGACAAAGCACTTCTATTACAACAGTGAAGTAAGCTCTTCCTTTCTCTAGCAGGATGGTATTTACAGTCCTTGTTTTATTTTGATAAAGACATTCCTCAGAAGGTCACTACAAAGTCAGTGTCATGGTAATTCTGAAATCCCTTGAAATATATTAAAGGCTTTTAAGACTCAGTATCCACTCTCCAAAAAGGTGAGAGTTGTGGAGATGAAGCAAAAAGGAAAACAGCAGTGTTCTTTGCCTGTATTAATCCCTCATTTCCCCCATTAGGATAATATTTTTTTTTAATCCAAACGTGCACAAAATTCCCCATAAAATTAAAGTAGGCACCACTCAGAGGAAAATAGGGATAAAGCACTCTAAACACGTCTTTGCAAAACGATAAACATGAGGCCATATTTCTGTATCAGCACGTTTTGATAAATTTCTAGCACTGAAAAACTGGGACTAGTCATTTAAATAAGGTTTGGATTTGGGCAAAATCTGTACTGGTGTAAACTACTCTCAGCCTACTATGGCATTCCAATGTGAACTGAGAGCTCCTGTTCCACGCAAAAGGCAAACAAGAGAAAATGTGCAAAAGCAGCATTTCTGGAGGGGGGAAAAAAAATAACAACAGAGATGTAAATTTGAATATTTTGTTTTAACAGAAAGTTCTATGTTTTTGAGATTATGTTAAAACAAGAACATGCATCTCCTGAGGGGCAGAGGAAAAAAAAAGAAAGACAACAGAAGCAGTTGGAGATTCACGTGCCTCTAGATATTTGGTGTTGTGAAGTAACAACAGCCAAAGGATCCTTCAAACTTTCCACATATTCTTTAGTTTAGCCTGTCAATACTGCTATGGAAAGAGCAATTACCAAGTTCATTTTGCATTAGGCAAGTTGAGTCACACAACTTATGCATGACTCACCAACCTACCATCATATAACTACAGAAAGTAGGTCTGAAAGGATCTTGAGACATCATCTAGTCTATCCTCATGCCCCACAGCATGGCAAATTAAGTCTAAACCACTCCTACACACATTTGTCAAAACCCTTCTTGTAAGTGACAGGCAGTCTATTCCAATGTTTAGCTATCTTTATGTTCAAAGCCTTTTAGACATTTAACCAAGATGGCCCTGATGCCCCATCCTGTTCTTCACAGACATTAAGCCCATAGCTTCCCCTTTGTGAGGGCTTCTTGTGCATTTGGAAAATGCCAGCATGCCTCCCCTCAAACCTTGCTTAGCCACATAACTGTAGGTGCTTCCATCTTACATCACAACTCACCTTTCTCAAACCTTGCATCACTGTTGTTGCTGTCTTGTCAGCTGGCTCATGCTTTTCTTGAAGTGGTTTTCCCCAAAACAGACAGTGTTGCAGCTGAAGCCTTACCCTCTTTCACTGTATAGCAAAGTCCTAGGAACTACACACCCATTTATACATCCTAGCAAAGGACTTGGCTTTCCCACCCACCCTCTTTTGGTTTTGATGATGAAGGAACACAGTACTAACAATCAGTGGCAGATTCTGAAACTGGATCTGTAAGTCCCAATTAATTATAATATCCTTTAATTAATTTCCAGTTCTTCAATTTGCCCATCACAAGGTGAAAAACTAACAAGCCATCTTTATACTTCCAAACAACACAGAGTTCAAGTGACTATGGAGCCTCTTCTATACAGCTCCAAGACATTATGAAGAAGCTTTCACTCTAACAGTTCCAGTCAATAACACCTGGAAAGAAGAGGCTCTGACAGCCTCCCCTCTTTCCTGCAAAGTTGTCACATTTTAGCAGTCCAAGTGCATCTGCTGACAGGAAACAGGAAAAAAAAAAAAAAAAAAAACATGAGTCCGCCTGATATTCAGATGCAATCTGTGACATAGCAATACTTACGGTATTGCTATATCACTGTTTGCACATACTGTACTAAAATTTGCAGGAAAGGAACTCAGACCATCGTGTAAGTCATGCCAACTTAAGAGCTGATGTTCCCTAAAATGGTTTTGGCTCCTACCCTTCAGATGCTGAATTCAAGTCCCTCCCTTAATATACAGCAGCAGTAGTGAACTTTCATGCACGTAACCAGGATTCTCTATATTGTTTAACAAACTTTTCCAAGAATGAAACAGTCTCCCCCATAGCTGAAATCCTGTCACAAGACAACCAGTCCAACTGGTTTAATGACTTATGTATTTCCTCTTCAGCTTTCCTGAAGTTTTGCACAGAAATACAACTTCCCTAAGCCCCATGTCTCTCTTCCCCACAGAACCAGCCTCTGCTGCAGATTAGACTGTTCATCAGGTGGGGATCAGTCGTCCAAGATGAAAGCATGGCCCATTTGAGATAAGAAAACAAAGCATTAAAGGATGACAGATAATCAAGATCCAATATTAAAAACCACGTGCTGCTGATATTCTTGATGCTCCTGTCTGAATGGACTTCCCTTTGAACTCATTCATGCTACCAGTTCATAAGCTTCTGTACTGTGTTCTCTTCCATTCAATAGCCCTCCATCTTGTTCCTATGGTAACATGTAAAACAAATTTCTCTCCTAGCATTTTATCATGTAAGACAGAAAACATCCTATTATATTATAGGATCTAAATCCTATAAAATCCTGTAGTCTTCCAATATGTGTTTAGATTCATTAATTTCCCCCATCCCTGACATTCTTACCATCTAGGAAACTAGGGCTGCAATGATGCCTTTGTAGTAGGCTGCTAAGATCTGGCTACAAGATCAAGGCTTGTTTAGGATCAGGAATAGTAACAACAATAATAAAGAAATTACTGAAGACAGTAAGGTCAATACTGAAAAGCAGCTTGGCGAGGCAAATAATTACAATATGCAAATTATTTACCTGAAGTAATTTAAAAGCCATCTACTTGCATTCTTACTTCTAATGCAGACCTTGCACCAAAGAGCTTTTGAAAAATAGCCTCTTACGTGGGAAACTGTTAAATAGAATCAATGATAATTCTTCTGCTTCTCTAGCGTTTTGCCCCTTAGTCTTTAATTCATAATTACAATTATTCTCCCTGAACTCAAGTCCTTTTAAGGGTAAATCATTTGGATGCTCTGCCAAATTGCTGCTATTCTGAACTTTCGAGAGCAATAAACAGGAATTTATTTCTTCCATATGAATAGCAGCCACTTCTTTAACTCTGGACATTTTCACTGCACTTTCTAGATATTTTCAATACATTCTATGAATAAGTCTTCGAAGATAGCAGATATTTCTAAGTGACTTCCATGGGACCCCAGAGAAGATGGCTGCATCTTGTGTGGTGTTCAGCTGCTAGAAGCACTGTTTACTATGGCAAAATCCACCTGAATTAGGTTTAAATTATGCACAAGCAGGATTTTTCCCTGTTCTTTTATAAGACTGCACTTTCCTCAGAACCATTAGTGCACAAAATAAATAATGCATTCATATTTTGTTTGTTTAGTTTCAGGCATTTGGTTTAGGCAATACACATTTAACTGCTTTGGGTGCACAGAAATTAATTCATTAAGTTCCTACATCTTAATAAACTTAATTCAGCTGTCAGCTGATGTTTTAAGTGACAGAGCTGAACATTCACCCTTGTCTTTAAGAGGCTGACTGAGCTCTCACACCAACTCAGCTTCCCCATTAGCACAGCTTCTATTCCAAACAGATCCAATGTCCTGACAGTTGTTTGGACAGAAAGCTCAACAATAAAATGGCTCTGTATAGATTTAATTTTTATAGCTTGTTTCCCACTTTTTTCTCTAGCTGACATGAGAACAGCACAATGGATCATCTTGAGAAGGGTTTTAACTTTCTCAGTCACAAGTACAATGTCATCCAATGTACTCCAAAAACTATCATGAAGCTAACACAAGAGTAGCAGCATTTACTGCACAAACATACAGTGGTACACGTAACCCAAAAGGCATTAAAACAATGCCAAGAGTTCCACCAAGCAAGAGGACACTCCTGCTGGACATGGCACATACTTGCTGTGAAAAGCAATCTCTGCTCCCCTAAAAAATTATCTCTTTAACTAAATGAAACAGAAAGACAGACAAGGGGAAGAAGTACTACAATAGGAGCCACAGTCCATAGCATATAAACACTCCCACAGACAGTTTGTAGTAACACAGAATTGTTTCCAAGTGTAGTGTTTCCCAATTCATTGCATTTAGAAGCAGAGTGAATATCTAATGATACATTAGTTTTCTCAGTCTAAAAGCAGGATGACCTAAGCAAGCTCTTTGTTTTTCTGCTAAACATGGAATTGACCACTGGAACATGACTTAGGACAAGAACACCTAGAGTTCCTGCCTCCCAAAATAATGCTTTCAGCTGAGTAATCAGACCAAGCCAGAGGGATGTCTGGTCAAACTGGCAGCCTAAGGATTTACCAGTGGAAGACTCAGGCACCATACTATAGGTACAGCATTTTCCCTGTCTCACCCCACTCATTGGTCTCTTTCTGGATTCATCTCCCAGAGCACCACTGCCTGAGCCCTGGGTTAACAAGTCTTAATGGATCTTCCGCTGCTGACTTTGTGCCTTAAGGCCTTAGTTTTGCAAATACATACATACATTCCACTGATTTCAGTGTACCTAACACTAAAACCATTCAAGTGAAGAATCCAGTCCCCACATCTAGATCTTCAACAAAGGTGCACAGAACACAAATACTAGTTGAGGGCACAATATTATATTGTTCTCTGCTTACTTGACCACGATCACTTTTCCAAGTTCCCAGTCCTATGAAAGGCATCTTCTGCCCAGTGTGGAGCGCAATGAAGTTGCATGCTGCAGACATTTTTGCCTAAAGAAGAACAAGAACAAACTGAGTTTTGCAGCAATTCAGTAAGTTGTAACAATTTACCTTTTCTATGCATAAAGAAATAAAATCATAGAGGTTCTCATGATTCTATAATAAAGATGAAACAGGTTCTTTACAGCTTTTACTGGTATACAGGAGATTAATAGTGACCCTGGAGAGACTAGAGAAGGATCCCTTTTCCTCCTCCTCCTTCTTACTCTCTTTTCTCATTTACAGTGCACAAGTTCAAGATTTCTCAGAATTGAGAAGTACGTAAAGAAGCATTCTGCAGTATTATGCAAGTAATAGAGAAGCTCAGGTGAAAATGTGCTTTTTTTGTTTGTTTTTTTTTTATCAGCAGTAAGCATTGAGGAGGCAGAAGGGAGCAAGTGATGTTTGTCTGCCATCAGTATTCAGTAATTCCACAGGACTTCTGCACAGTCTTTTTCACTACCAACTTGCTACCAGCTGGCTCAGGAACTAAGCTCTAATTACCACTGCAGTTGAGGATAAACATATTTTGTCAGAAACAGCCAGTGCAGGTTAAGGTTTGAAGACCTGAGTGAATGGTAAAGGCATTTATGAAGGCATAGCCCAGAAAAACAAAAAATTTTTAAAAATGCTCCAAAGAGCATCACTGTTGGAGCATCAGTCCCATCTTTTTATGCCAGATATGCATTTTGTCAGCCATGAATCCCAATTTCCACCAACTCAGAGCTGAACTACAACTCATTATGAAGACTGTCTGGCATTGTGAAGAAAACCAGAAACATTGTGGCTTCCACTGCAACAAGCGTAATTGTTTATGAATTGTTATATACCTGCAATGGGTAAATGCTACCAAATGAGAAGACTACTTTTTTTTTTTTTTAAACACTAAAAAAAAAAACCCTCTCTAATGTGAAGTCGAGGCTATGACAAAATGGAGGCACCTTCAAAGGGGAACATGGGAAGTAACACCTCAGTACACTGATCACATAAAACTCGTGCAAATATAAATTTTTATTTTTCTTTATGACATATAAGTAGAAATACGTGTGTGCAGAGTGACCTAAATGCAGTAGGTCCTTACATATTTGTGTGTTTTGAATTCCAAAGTAACTTTTGTCTTCCTGTTCTTTTCTATCTCCCTGATCATTCAGAAAGGGACACTATCTTTTAAAGAGCTGAAAAATTCCTTGTTCCCATACTGCCAAAATCTGCATGTGTACTCTCGATGGAAATTCAAGATGAAGAGCTCAACTCCTGCATAACATGCATTTCAAGTACAAACAGAATGCAATGGCTAGCATTGCTATTATAGAAAGTATCACGCACCTGATTTAGCACAAAGTCACAGAGGAGTAGTGTTCTTCTGTTACTAAAGGGAGAATAAAAAAAGATTATGCAAAGTCAGTTGGCACATTGAGCCTGAGCTTCTCTCTCCTGCTTAGCACTGTGATATCCAATCATTTTCCCTGTGAAACTCAACAGAACAAAGGTCCAGCAGGATCTTCCAAGACCTCTTGCTGGCTTTATAGCTGCTGCAAATAGGAATCCGCTCACAGTGGTAAAGCTTTTTATCAAAAAGGAAGGGTTTACAGTGTGTCCCAACATGTTCACAATCTACATTTTTGGTCAAACTATTAAAAAGGAACCACATTCAAGATGAGCTCCAAAACTAGCTAGCTGATTTCAGCAGAAGCTGAGGAAGTTACTTCCCAAGTTCAGCTGTGTCCAAACTCATTAATGTTACTTGTTTATAACAAAACCAAGAGTGGAAGTATGCAATGTTGGCTGAATGGCTGACTATATAGGAGGAACAGATGTTTTCAAAACAGAGCATTCATACAGCATACTATCACAAAATGGCCCTGCTTTCTCCCTGTTGTTATAATTTTCCACAGATATTGTCAGAGCTGTTGGATGTGTTCACAGAGAAAGTTTATATTTTCAATTTCTTGTTTATCTTCAAGTAATATTTTTGTAGATTTACAGCAGGCACCAAATAGCACACATTTTTTTACAGAGAGACATAATAGCATAGTTGGAGTGACCCTGACCTCAAGGCCATTGTACCCCAAGGAGCTGAAGATCCACCTAACAGTTAACCTGAGTAGGTCCAGGCTTGTCTTGTGCTGCACTTCATGTACAGGCCTGGCTTTCAGGCCTGTGCTGTGGCTTTCAGGCCTGTGCTGTGGGACAGACAGCCCACAGCTGCAGGATAAGCTCAGCAGCCAGCTGTAACCAGGGAGCCTGCCTGCAGGCAGCTCCCACTTGGTACCTGTGATTAAGCCACCTACATGTCCTCGCATTTACTTAAAAAAGCATGAAGTTCTAATGCAACCATCCTTTCTGTTTGACAGTATAAATGATCAATAGAGTTGTTTTCTTGTAAGAAAATCCCTAATAGCTCAAGTGACTGAAATGGGATAACCCGTTCTACGGACAGGGTCTGCACAACATGCTGTGCATGAATCGGAGGAGCTCTGTTCAATGCTGCATAACTTGGGGTTCCCAGCACCTGAAGGGATACCAGATTATCAAGGCCACGCTCCTTCCATATGGGGTTAGCTCTAACAAGTAGCATTCGAGACAGTACTTTACAGAGTCTGAGTGGCTTTCTTATCAGGACTGCAACAGACCAGCACCCCTGGTGCAAAACAACGGTTAAACAGAAACTAATGGTTCTGGATTTGTACCGAGATGTATTAAGTCCAGATGTTAATGCTGAAAGCAATCCTTAGTGAGCCAAGTTACAGGTATATATCTATTTTTGGGGGTAGGGAGTCACAGAAGGAAGAATTACAATGACAACAGTATTCTCTTATATTCTGAATTTGAATAGCAATTTCATAGTCAGCTACATATACAAGTGGGTGGTTTTTTTACCTGAATTCAGTTGTCTAAATAAAGGTATATTTCTACACCATGCAATACAACTAAAGACTTAAGGCTTTTTGATTCACACTGTCCTAGGACACAACCATGTTACACAATCATGTTAGATGCAACACTTCAGCCCAGAAGACAAGGTACACATTTAGTCAATAACTAGCATCAGCATATTTTCTAAGAACCATCTTGCTTCTTGTAACACTGTTGTATATTAACATTGCAGAGAGAGCAAACTACAACCTCTGGAAGAATGGAAACATGCCAGAATTAGAAACACTAGAAGAAAACACACTAATTAATACTTTCCACTCAGATTTTTCCCCTAATAAGGGGATATAAGGGAACTGGAGTGTCTCCTAGCCATCATTATTTGGTTCATTAAAAAGCTAGAAGCCTCTTTTAAAAGGGCAAAGACAAATAAACATAGAAACAAAATAATTTGGGGTAACTAAGATGTGGTTTCAGCTTAATACTCGCCTCTCCTACTGCCATATTTGCATAAAAGAGTAACGCTCAGAGCTATTCAAAGGCAATGTAAGCAGTCTGGCTAGGAGGATGCATTAATAACCAGAGAGGGGTAAACTACAGCTATGCACGAACCCACAGCTACAACTTTTAATTTAAAACAGTAAGTCTTTCACCATTAAAACACGTATAAATATGCATTAAATTAATACATATGGCCACACAAATAGGCACATATGGAAAATACGGGATCCCCTGCTACAGAATCGCTGCTGCCCCTGCAGATAGGGCTAACCCTCCGCAGCTCCTCTTCTACCGGAGGCGCCAAACGCGCCCATGTGCCCTTATCAGGGCGGCCAGCGAGGCCTGCCCCACGACGGGGGGACGATAAGGACGCGCCGCGCCGCGCCACGCAGCCCACGGCCGCACTCCCCCGCGCCCCACCGAGCGTGATCCGCCCTCACCTTGCGCCGCCGCTCGCTTATACCGCTCCCGCCGCTCCCGCTTCCGCTTCCGCCCGGGAGCGGCGGCCCAGCCCACGCGAGAACGCGCACTGGCGTTCACAGCGCTTTGCAGTGCTGCGGGGTAGTGTCCGTCGAGAGAAACAAAATGAAATTAAAAGTCCGGCAACGAGCGTTTCTGCAGGGAGTGGACGGAGGAGCCGGCCTCGTTACGGCCCTTCGCCGTGCCGGGGATTTTGCAGGCTTGCCCTCCCGGCCGTCCCGCTGTTCGCACCTCGGGGCTGCGGGATGTCCCGCGGGCCGTGGGGGCTGCCGCGACCTCGGCACCGACCCGCTCCCGGGTAACTCCACGGGTTTGCCCTGCTTATCTTTTACTCTCGGCCCGGTTCCCATCAGGAAATTCAGACAGCCCGGACTCTGCCGTTCACAGCGGGTGCTTAAGAGAAAAATCTGAGGGAGTCCACCGCAGAGAGGAAAACTACAAAATGCAAACCTAGCCGATGAAGGCTGCAGGAAAGGTGTGCATTTACATAACAATCTCCTTGTCTATTTGCTTGAAGCTGTTTTTACTGGTAGGAAGACAGAACTTCCACCGTTTTAATTGCAGCCCTGAATAATAGGAATCCAGGGGAATTCCAAAGCCAGTCACACTCGTTTTGCTTTGGCCTCTGTGCTGAAAGGCGCATAAAGAGAAAGAAATGGCACTTCCTGAAAGGACTAAGGCTCCTTTTTACAGGTGCACAAGAATGCACTTCCTTATTTGTGTAAGATTGAAAGGAAGATTAAACCAGACTGATTTTAGCAGAGTGCTTACTCCTGGGTAGGTACAATCTTGATACTGTAGTCAAGGATACGACCTTTACCAGGAGCAGACTTTGGCCTGTAACTCAAAGGCTACCCCTAGATTTACAGGACTTTACATGTAATCTTAAACACCATAAAATTGTAACCAGTTCTGTCTTTTACTCCAGGCTTCCATTTTTTATAAGTAATTTATAAACATTCAGAGTTTGAAAATAGTAAGATTATATCAGAAATATGGCAAAATATATATCCAACAGAGCTTTGAAGGGGCTGTTATTTATTTCCAGAAAGATAATTCTGCTGCAGATTTTTTGCTGCTTCTGACTTGAATTGCTCAGGAAGTTTAAAGGCACAAAGGTTAATTAATCTCTTTGGCATGCACATGATCAGACTTTTCTGTAGTGCAGCCTATTTTGACAAAATACAGAAAAGTGGAAAGAGTGCAAGGACAAGACAACACAGTTTAAAATAACAGGAAATAGAGAATTAAGAAGAGGAAAGAATAAAGGGGGAGGAATCACTGCTGGGTTTGATTTATTTTTACAGAGACCCTGTCAATCACAAATCCATTTGAAAATCCACAGTCTTCATGCACTAGAAGATGCTTGAATTATATTCGTATCACATATGTAAACTTTAACAAACCTCAGCCTCTGACAATATAATAGGGAGTGAAAGAGAAAAGGTAAGGAAGACATTTTGTCATTAAAAGGCAGCGATTATCCAAACATACAAATAACATACAATAAACTTTTTTAATTTAAAAAATATATATATGTAGAGAAGAAAGAGGTAATGAAAGACATTTTGATTTAGAAATACAGTTGTCACTTGAGCAAATCAAGGAAAGCAAATGTGCATTGTATATTTAATGACATGTCATTGTTTTCATTAAAACTATTGTGCACCAGCTGCTAGTGCATAAATGCCCCACGGCTTGGGAACATGCCAGTTGTTGGCTTTTCAGTTGACTTTTTGCATATATTATATTAAAATGTCCCCACATTGCCAGGATTTTACTCTTACTGTGCCCCTGATGGTATCATGTGCATACAGTCAGTTCAGTATGTTCAGGATTCATCAGGCTTTCTTCACGTGCAGTGATCAGCTCTACAGAACGTGCATGATGATGTCCTGATGTGCTGGCTTTAGAGGGGTGTATGGATCATCTTGGCTGTAGCACTGATGTGTATATGCTCAAGGGGCATACCCAGCATTGCCCAAGCGCAGTTCACACTACTGTTCTAACTAAGTTCATCTTACTCTGGAAGTCCTGGATACACTTAAATAACATCCTCAAATTCTCTTCTGACAAAATTCATGGAAACCTAAATGTGTGGTAGTGTTCTGAAGTAGGACCCATTTCTTCCTCTTTGTTTTTACACCCAGCAAGGGTTTTGATTTTCATACCAGGGACCAATTCCCAACCAAGACATTAAAATGATACATGTAAAATCTGGTGTGGCCACCAATTTGGAAATCTTTTGGTAGTTTCAGTGCTCCAGCACTGCAGGGCCACCCAGCTCCTCTTTGTTAACAAATAAACTACTTATTGTGGCCAGATCTGTATGAATGGGTGCAAAGAGGCCTGCACGTGGGCTCCTGATGTTCCATGCTAGTCAGATACAAGGTGATTCTCTCTGGCAGCTATTCTAGCAGAGCATTACACTACAGCTAATCCAGTGTGTGAAGAACACAGTGTGGGGAAGCAAGGTGTGGAGAGAACTCTGCCCTTCCAGCACCTGCTTCAGTAGAGATGCCCTTTCTTTCTTGGATAATTTAATGATTTTTTTTTTTTTTTTTTAATTTAAGTAGCATTTTACATCTAAAGATGGAAAAAGGCTACAGAAACCCATCTGCTCAGTGAACAAGAAGTGGCCCTGACAATTTATCACTCCAAAACCCCCAGAAATTGATGGTTGGAAAGACTAGCTCAGAAACTAATCAAAAATAATGAAGCCATGGACACATGAACGGAAATGCAATGCTTAAGGCACAAACCTGGAACAAACTATATCACGGTAGCTATGCAAAATGAGTATATTATGCATCTGAAAGTGTGAGAAATGTGCATAACGAGCATTAAAGGAGTCTGAAACCATGAGAAAGTCATTACTTTGTCCATTGGTAAACATGCTGGAGTTGCAGTAAGACTGCATTGTTCTAGAGGTTTTAATTAGGACTGCCTGATCTTTCAGAGGTTAATCTGTTCACAGGTTCATGGCACGAGTTGATAGGTAGATATATACATGTCTCAATTTATAGACCTCAACTGTCATCACAACACTGATGTTAAAAAAGTAATACACTTCTTGCTGTAAAAGATTAAGCAACAGAAACAGCAGTAGATAAAATACTTGCATTAAGGTGAGTGCAGTTTATTTTTCTGAGTGCAAATATACATACTATTTTGCTTTTATTATTTAAGGTGTAATTTCATCTGGTAACGAAACCAGTCATCTCTTGGATGAATCACTACATGGTTATGGTCACCCAGCAACACTACAATGATGTACTATAAACATTTAAAGTTTGTTAATCCTTTGTGGTTTTCTCCTCATTACAATGTATAATCAAGTTTTAACAGGTATAAGAAATGCAACTGTAAGCCACAAAACAGACAAGTAAAAAATCAGTTGGTAAACACTTTTGTTGCTTTTGACTAAACCAAGCAGTTTTGTCATTGGTGTGTCCTTCATAGCCTCCAGTATTCACTATTTAATAAAACTTTTATATTTGAATTCAAGGTTTGGTCCTCAAAAAGTACGAACTAATTCAGTCCTGGATCCAAACACAATGCTTACAAGGAATTCACTCAGGCTGTATGTCCCTCAGAGTAGCTTCACTCTGGGAATGATGCAAAATTCCCTGAAGTGAGTAACTGTTTCTTCCAAGAGTTTCCATCCCATCCCTGAAGCTTAGAGGCAAGACCTAATTTAGTTTTCTGCTTTTTTGCTGACTTGCATGACTTGGATCAGTCTTCCCATTGATGGGGAAAAGTCAATGAAAGCCTTGGGAACTAGTATCAGCTTGAGGAGGCAGTTGATAATGAAGAATGAGAGGATAAAGATTTGACCCCAGAAGTATGTAACACTGTGAATGCATTTGCTTTGTTAATAGGTCTGGTTTTATTGAAGTCAACGAACTCCACCTAAATGACATGAGTTATCTCTCAGTCTCCCTCAAAATCCTGTGTACCCTCAGTCTCTTTGAGGGCTTCTAATAATCATCGCTTGGTTATAGCTAAGGCATTAAAGAAATAATTTATTCTTACAGTAAGCCATCTGAATCCCGTGAATTGTTTACAACCATTACACTGGATATTTTCTCAGCATCTCCTAGATCACTATCAGAGAATAATCTCTGTTTATTCAAATTCTTTTGCTGCTTTTAAACAGCCTGGGGCACTATCTCCGTTCAGATAAAGAGGGGACAGCCCACTATCGGCCACCCCGCCAGGGACCGGTGCAAATCTGCCAAGTCACGCTGCCCTTGCAAGCGGGAGGGGAGGGGCGGTGGCGGCGGCCCCCCCTTCCGCGGCGGAGGCGCCCGTCTCCTCGCGAGATCGGGGCGGGTATAAAGGGGGCGGCGCGGGGGGGCTGCGGCAGTGTGCGGCTGGGTCGGGCTGGAGTAGGGCGCTGGTGATTCTCGGCTCTTTGTGTAAGTGCTGGCGGGGGGGTTGCGCAGGTGCGTGCTTGCCGCGGGGGGGTGGCCGGGGTGGTGTTTATTTGGGGTTTTGCAGTGCATATTTTTCTCTCTCTTTTTTTTTTTTTTTGTTTTTTTTTTTTTTTTTGTGTGTTTTTTTTGTGTTTGCTTGTTTTGTTTTCCCCTCCCCCTCTGCGCGGATGGGCTCTTGAGCGCAGCGTGCAGGGCGAGCTCTTGATCTCCGCATCCCGCCCCTGGAGGAGCGCGTTGCTGGGGTTGCCGCTCTCCTCCCTTGTTTGGTTTCCCCCTCTTTCGTGCTTTTATTTTTTTTTTTTTTTTTGGGGGGGAGTGGGAGGGAGGACAGGGGACGGTACCCAGAGATAGTCCTTTCCTACCCGCCGGCCGTTATCAGCGCTGCCCGGGGAGCGCGCAGCCAGGCTGCGGAGCGGCCTCGAAGGAGGCGGGTGTCCCCATCACGGAGCGGTGTAGTGGCCTTTGGGCGCAGGGGGATGCTTTGATCTCGCTTTAGAACTTTCTGAGCAAAACGCGTTTCGTGGTCTGTGTGTGGCTGGCTGCGGTGTACTCGAACCGAGGAGACTT